AGACCATTTATCTTCGCAGGTTTTGTTTTCAGCGCAGATAAATTATATGACTGAAAATTAAGTGGTTTCAGAGTGATCTAGTTCATGCCAAAACTAGTCCTTTAAGATTGCAACCCAAAAGCTGCACTGTTCAATTTGTGAATAAAAAAGATGCAGAAAAAAAGTTGCAAGTCTGGTAGCCTGTCAATTCCAAAACCAAATTGCGAAGGCGTGCGCAAGCGAACTCTTTTCAAAGAAAAAAAACCAGCACCTATCGAACCAAATGACCAAAGTGGGTCACCGCTGAGATGGCGTTTGGCTCCATCGGGAAGTAGTTTATAGAGGTAATAAGTGTCAGAAGTTTAAGAAGGTTATTTGATACCCGTCTCACATTTGTCACAAGTTAGATTAGTTCCCTCCCACACATTTACCTTGTATCCCTGCATGAATCCACTCGAATAGCCACCGCCGGCTCCTCGTTGGGCCAAGTTGTGCATAGATGTTGACATGCCAGTCATTCCAGCATCCCTAGGAAACACTTATCAAAAGAGCTCCTTGACTAAGTTTAAATAAAAACCTACTTGAGACCCTTCACATAGCCTTCATGGAAGCGATCATCTCTGCTACCGTAATCATCATCCATTCTCCTTCTAGCAGCAGTTGCTGATCCAAGCTTATTCGCATCTTTGTACCCTTTCATGTATCCATCTTCGAAATCACCTCGAGCTAAACAAACATCGTTTTCTTCACCTTTATCTAGTTCCGTGATCATAGATCGCTCATTTAATCTTCTTACGTCACTACTATCGTCTTAACCTAATCCTATCCTTACTCACACGCATTTAGAATCATTAGACCATTGGAGGGATCTGGCAGTGCATGCAAAATATGGGATCCTATACATTGTGCTGTTTTAGTATTATTCATGTTAGAGCGTCGTGTTTAGTAAAGTTTGTATAAAAAATTCTTTATGATCCTTAAACATCCCTTTTAAACCCAATCCAAAAGGGTTATGTCTAAGATATTATTATTTTTGGAAAATTTTCCATAATCCTCAACCATCCCTTTTGAAACTCAACTATCCAATATAAACCCTTCAGAACTTAGCAGTATTTAGCTTCATCGAAATCGTTTTGATGCAAAACTTTTTGTCAAAGGTTCTCCCTAATT